ATAATTTAATGAGCTCATTTGATAATAGATTATTATAGTAAAAAAGATATTAAAAATATCAAAAATCCAAAAAAAAAAAAAAAGAAAAGATATTAAAAATATCAAAAATCCAAAAAAAAAAAAAAAGAAAGTCAAAAAATTCTTCCCATTATTTTATTTTTTTTAAAATGCTTGAAACACTTAATTTATTATCTCTAAAAATCACTCCTAATGATGTGTTTGAGAAGTATCCAATTTTGATTTGTCAAACATACCATCACGTGAAATCTAACCTCAATGCCACATCATTAGGAGAATGTAGCATTGTTAATTTATTTTTGACACTTCTTTTTAGTAAAAAGTTAAAAAATCATTTCCAAACATTTCAATTTTGTTTCATCTCATATTTTAATAAAAAAATTAATTTCCAAACGAACCCTAAATTTAAACATCTACTTACTTTTATAATAGATCATTAACTTTTGATTTGCCATAATTTTAATCAAAACGAATTACGTATATTTTTTTAACAATGAAATCTGAATACCCAAATCTGTATATTTGTTTCAGATGAGCATAATTAAATAAATTCTTAATTCAGATTTGTTGCAGTATCATCTATAGTTTAATAAAAGATTAATATATAAAAGATTATCCTTAATCTTTGATTTTGTCAAAACACACATCAACAAACCTATAATAGGATTGTGATCATTCTTAGGCCAAGAATGTTGATCTTTTCAACTGTTTGGACTATCAAAAAGGATTTGATATATTCTGTTCTTTTGTCACATACAATGTTGGCAAATGTGTAATTCCAATTAAGGTCATGTAAGTTGATGGTAATCTAGTAATAATATTAAAAAATTACATTTTTTATACTTAACTGTCTCTGACTTGCTTTATATTAGATTAAACTTTAATTATTAAGAAGATTACATAACAACTGTCAAACTAGTGGTTTAAGAATATTTTGAATAGATTATGATCAAACCTAATTATTTGATTAATGACAGACAACATGGGTAAGTAATGCACATGTTAAGTCATAGAATTTGGCATGTTTCCTTTGGTGTGTCCTTCCAACCATCAAGAATTATTAAATATTACTTTCTAGGGCTAGTGGTACCTATGCACAGCAGGATTTGCTGTGCTCTTAAACGACACTGCATTGGTGCATTTTCTTGTAACCATTCACAGCTATTGTCCTTCTAATGGGCAAGCTTTAATGTTTTTAAATTTTTTTTTTTTCTTTTGTTTGTTTTAGATCAAAATGATAGAATCAATTTGACTTTTTAAAGGGATTTTGTAATTTCATTTTATGATGTGTGATTGTTGGTTCAAATTTAATAGAGATTGACAAACTTTGTGATATCTCATTTCTTTAATAACAACTAAACTCTACTGATAAATAAAATAAAAATTTAAGTCAAAATCAAAATTAATTTGGGATGGCAATAAAAACAATTCTCAAAATAAATTGACATTTTGACCTCTTTTTTTTTTTGTCACACATTATATATACTATATGAAGAATCGATAGAACTGAAACAACCGCTTAAGACTGATTGAAAATTTAGTTTTTGGTTTGTTTTGATTTAAATTTTTTTTATATCAGTATAAAACGAACCAATTGAAATATTTTATTTAAATATTAATCTTTTTTAATTCAATGAGTATTACACGATAAGTGATCAATAATATAAGTTTTCTTTAATAAAAGTTAGAGAGACTTACGTATAAGTTTTAATAGGTGAACTTATTATCTAATAGGTTCTATGATAATTAATAACATTTTTTATCAAACACTATTAAAAAATGTCACTATTGTTAATTTTTAATGACAGTTTGAAAATTTTGTTATAAAAAATGTCACTAATTATAAGTTTTAGCGACAGTTTAAAAAAATCGTCACCCAAAAAATCACTGATTTTCAATTTTACATAATATTATTTTTGTCAAATTAGTTTATATTTTATCAAATTGACGATTTTGCTCTTAAAATTAAGTAATGATATCTTTAATTATTTTTGTTTGGAACAAATTCAAAATTCAGGATCAAATGTATCACAATTGAAAAGTCTGAGACAAAAATGACACAAGTCCCAAATTATAAGAACCATTAATGTAATTCATCCTAATATAAATGATATCGAACTCCACTTAATATGATTTACAATCTTACATTGCAAAATGATACTATTTGATTATATCATTTTGATATTAAGAAAGTAATTTTTGTAAGTCAAGTATATATCCTATTTAGGACCATGCACAATATCGTTAAAATCGTATCTAATCGTACTAAATCACACCAAGCCATGCATTTTTTCAACTCTGGCGGGGTGTGTTGGGCAGTTCTAGGAGTGACGGGTCAGCGTGGATGGCAGTTTGAAAATGTCAACCTGCCTAATAAACCGACCCAACCCTATTAACTAAAATAAGTGGTGTTTTGAAAAGTTGATAAAAAGATGACTTTTGATTTTTTGACTTTTTTGATGATTTTTTTGACAAAAAACTGAATTGTTTTAAGTAAAAAATCTTACTTTTTTTGCTAAAAAAATTAAAAAGTTAAAAAACTAAAAAATCGACTTTTTACCAATCTTTCCAAGATGCCCCTAAGCAAGAGAAAAAATGAAATAAAAAATTCGAATAGCATAATCAATGGTTGTCCCTTGGGTGGACAGTGACGTTGCAACCCTTACAACAAAACGCAACATTACGGTGCCGTATAGGAGCACAGCAAATCCTGCTGTGCGCTATGCACAGCAGCTACCCCTCTTCCTACTTTCTAGGGTTAATTACATTTTTTATTTTCAAAATATGAATTTTATGTTATTTTAGTTTTTAATATTTAAATTGTATTAATTTGTTTAGAATATATAAATATTTTTTAATTTGGTCCCTAATATTTAAATTGTGTTAATATGATTCTCAGGTCTTGTTTAGAAATATCATTTTTTAGTCTAAAATTCAAAGTCACTAAAAAAATCAAAAAACTAATAACAAATACTAAAAAGTCAAAGATTCTTTTTTCTCTCTATTTTTGACACATCTTTTTGTAAAAAATAAAAAAGTCATCCCAAATATACTAATTTTTTTTACATAATATTTTACCCAAAAAGCCAAAAAGTTAATAAAAAAATGTTTCCAAACGAGATCTCAATGTATATTTTTAAACATTAGAGAACTAAAAAACACTTCTCATATATTGAGAACTAAATTGACATAATTTAAATATTAAAAACTAAAATGACACAAAACTTATATTTTAGAAATCAAAATTATATTATCCCTACTTTTTATTGCAATATAAAAAGAGCTAGAAAGTTGAAATTGTTCAAGGCTTGGCCTATAGCTTGCATGTGGATCAATTAGGGCATTTTTTTTTTTCATGTTTTCCAAAATTTAATAATGAAAAGTTTAAAAATCACTTATTATTTTCTTGTCATTTTTATTTTTGTGCAAATTTTTTTTAAATTAAAAAGATAAGTAAATTTTTTTTAAAAAAAAAAAACAACAACAACAACAACAAAAAGGTGTTTTCACAATTTTTTCATTTTTTCAGTAATGTACAAACTGCCCCATTATATACTCCCAAATCATATTTAGGGGTGTAATCTAGGTGGGCTTACTCAAGTCTAACCCAAAAAAATTGGAGACTTTCATTGTATAATTTTCATTTGGTTCGAGCTTGGACTATTTTGTCAGTCCGAATTAAATTCGGACAATCAAAAAATATTTAAGTAAATTTCATTTTTCAATATATCCTATTAAATTATTTAAGTTTAATTTATTCTCAATACATCTTCTTCTTTTTTCCTTCTCAAATTACCCTTTTGAGATACACCCAAATAAAACAAATTAAAAAATTCAAATTACTTTTGAAAAACCTTCTGAAAAATCTTTTTTTTGTTCACATACATACCAGAAACACGACCAAGAAACCCGACATGGGCAACAGTGGCACCAACAAAGGAGAATTACGAAGGAGGACGGCGAAGGAGAAGAAGAGAGTGAATTTCGCGTTCGGACTTCGAAAACTGAACAAAGTGAATTTGTTCGGTTCTAAAAGTCCGAAAAAGTCCAAACAATAATGACAAAAAACAGACTCAATATTCGCTTTTATGTACAAAAAATAAAATAAAATAACAGAAATCAATAATTGTATTTTGATATTTATGTGAATACTTACCTCATCTTTAATGGGTTGCTTCAAAAAATTATTTTGATTATTACTCTCATCCATGGTTTGATTTTGTTCAAAATTTCTTCTATTTGCAAGCGACAATATAATAAAAAAACAATGATATTGATAATAATGGTTAATTTTGGTAGAATGGATTGAAGTTTTAAAGTGAGCAAGAAGAAGAAAAGAAAATAATTGAAACTTCAGAAAAAAGATAAAAGATATTTGAATAGGAAGAATAGGTATAATTAATTAAGGTGTACCATGAGAAAAAAATAATATTTTATTTTAATGTTTAATATGTTTGGTCATTAATAAATTTTAATTAAAATTTTAAAATTTAATTTTGACATACTAAGAAAAATTTTTAGTTCAAATAGAAGGGTCCCAAATTTGGGCAGGAATTTTCAGACTTGAGCAACCTCAATAATCTAAATTTTATTTTTTTAATATATATAATAAACATGAAATGTTATAAACTGTAAATTATTTTAGCATCGTGTGAATTAAATTATATTGTAATATAATATATTCTATTGTTTGGTATATATTACTCAAACTAATTTTCTTAATATAGTTTGAGTTTGTATTTTTTGAGATATTTTTTCTTTTTAATTTTTAAAATGTACAATACATTAGTTTAGTTTAGAACCAAAAATAATTTTTAAGTTAGGATCAAAAGTTGGACTTAGACTCAAGCTTGAGTAAATCCCTAAAAATTTCCGGACTCAGCTTGAACCCACTCGAGTTGCAACCCCACCCATATTATCCTTGCAGGCAAGTAAATAGCTCAATAAGCAAGTATATAATCAAAAGCTCGATACAAGCTCGATTCATGAAGTGTGGGTAAGAAAATAGCTTCATACTAATATGACTTTGTTCAGCAACAGAGTATATGTATATTATTAATCACACAGTTCAACTAAAACCAAATATAAACCAGTATGCATATTCTGCCTTTGGGAAGACACTGTAGACGTTTTAAAGTGATTCTCGGATTTCGTTAAAAAAACAGTACCTGAAAGGGTCTCCTACACCATTATTTCACGATGGGCGTGAACTCTCCTGTAGCTTCATCTTCTCAAAAAGGTACTGCTTCTCAGCTTCTGCCTCGCTCAACCTGCGTTTCAGGTACTTGCTAGCATAATCTTCCTCAGATTTCCCTGACTTTGCAAGAGCAATCCTCTGCAGCCCGTCAGCTTCCCGTCTAGCCTCATCAGCCTTGAGCTGAAACATATCAGCCTCGGCCTGTTTAAGCCTCACAATGCTCTCCAACTCATCTATCTGCATTTTCTTTCGTTGCCTCTCCATCTTTAATTCGGCAACTTCCCTGGCCTTCCCCTCGAGCTCACGTTCACAAGCCTCCAGAGCTTGGCGTGCTTTCTTGAACATCCTCATTTTCTCATCAGCTACGATTTCCATTTTCTTTACTGCCTCTTGCACTACCTCAGCAATTCGGTTACATGCCTCCTGTGGGGCTATCGTGCATCCACCTTCCCCAGAATCTGGGCTCTTTGATGAGTCCATCTCAAGCTCTTCAGACAATTTATTACATGATAAGAACAAGAAGAGAAATGAGAAGAAAAAATAAGTAATCAAATGCAACACCTAATCTTAAATTCAAAAGACAATTTATTAAGTTTAAACAAGTGGTCTTCTACTAGGGTTATCATCTAAATCTAATTCTAACGGCATTTTCAACATTAAAACTGGCACAAAGATTTTCAACAAGATAATAACCTGATTGAGACCCCACGGAACTTTAATCTAAGACACAAGAATACATCAATACAATCTGATACAGGGTGAATAAGACTAGAATAAAGTGAGGTAAAACAGATCAAACCACAAAAGAATATATATATATATCCACTCCAATACAGCAACTATTGCAGGAAATAAGAAGGCTATGCCAATCAGCACAAGCTAAAAAGTATTAACTTGTTATGATCCACCTATCTGATCTTCATTCACACAGAAACCAGGTTTCCATTTATTGAGTATAAAAAAATACAACTTTTGTAAATAAATTTGGTAGTTTGGGATAATCTAAATAAGTGCACTTTTTGACTTTTTACGAAAAAATGTACAGAAAAGTAGAGAGATGATGTGATGGAAAAAAGATAAAAAGTGTGTACTTATTAGTACACCCCAAAGAGAAGAAATTTTCCAATGACAAAATAAAAGTCAAATGATTAGTGAAACAGATAAAGAAATTCATTTACAATAACAACCAACCACGTAAAATAAAATGATTCAGAAAAAATATTTATTAGATTTGGCAGGCTAATGCAGATTGCTATATGTTAAACAAACAGCGCATCTACATTACAAACCTGGTCAACAATCCTCAATGAAGAGGCAATATTAATGCGAACACATCAGAAATTGTAATATTCTAAAAAACCAAAAGGGAACAAAGACTGAAAATTTTCTTTGCCAACTAAATTTTTTTAAATTTATTTTTAATGTAGAGAATTGGAAATTCAAATATGCTGAAGATATACATGAAATTGAAAAACAGCACTAAACAATAATGTCCTTGAGTTAAGTAGCACAAACACGTCATATAGCACGACATGAACATGCCGACACGTCGATTTACAAAAAAAATGTATGAAACATCTTAGAACATGTTAAAATTTTATATTTTTACAACTGTATCATATGTCATACATATGATTAATATATTCGAAGAGAATGAAAAATATGTAACATAATACTAAATATATTAAAAAATTATACAATCCATAACTAAAACATCAATTTATCATTCATCTAACAATCACATTCTAAAGAATACAGAAAAGTCATAGGATATTATAATACATATGGTGTATTAATCGTATAAATATTTTAAAACATATTTAAAGTGCTCAAGTTGTTTTCTGAAAGAATGCAAAGCACTATTATTATGAAGGGATTCGTTATAGGGGAAATTGCAAATCAGTGGAGCAATGAAAAAGTAATTGCACTATAGATGGAATTTTTTGTGGTGCAACTCTAACACACAGGATGGGCTTGCACCATGCACACAGAAAACTTGCACCACCATGAAAATGAAAATATTTTTTCACTCTTGAATGCAAATTTCCCTTGATTAAATAGGTCTTGTTCGGAGATTCAAGAAGTGTCACCAAAGTGTCCTCAAAGTGTTGGTAAAGTGTCCAATACTATGAATTTGATTTTCTAATTAAGACACGTTGAAGAAATGTCAGACACACTTTAGTAGTGTCCGAAGAGCGTAGATGTCCGACACGGGTGTCAGAGATGACACGCTTCCTCTGCAGAGTATCTCTGCTTCCTAGCCTGCACAGGTTGGCTGAGTGGGAACCAAATACAGATTTTTCACATGCATAGGGCTAAAAGTCCAACCTTTTTTTAGTTCATTACCTGCACCATATAAACTAAGCATTGAACTAAATTTTTCACTGGTTGAAGTTAGCCTTCCAGAGAAACTTACATGCTATCTCGTTTTTTTGATGGAAGACACCTATAAAGACTGGTAGGTCAAGCTGTCTGCACACGGAAACCTGTGCATCACTAATAGTATTTTGAATACATACGTTCATACTGCATTGCTATGATGCAAATCTAATTTTATAATTTGTTAAATTCAGGCAGCGAAACACCAGTTCCCTCTATTTTTTTCACCTTTTGAATGTTCATGATATAATTCATAGACTCAACCTATGCTATAGGAATAACCAACTAGTGGCCACCATGACTCTTCTAAGGGTTTAGTGTCAATGACGAGGTCATGGGTTCAATTCTTCCTAAGTGAGAGTTGAATTATTTGGCGAGCACTTAGTATTCTGCATGGGTGGGAATACTAACTCTTATAGGTGTTAATCTAATAACTAACAACTGACTTTTGCCGATCAAAAAACCAAAAAAAAACAAAAACCTCTGCTAGAAGAATCTAGAAGACAATAAGTATAGGCCTGTCAGTGGACCGGATTCAGGCCGGATTTGGCAAAATCTGATCCGAATCCGATAAGTCATCCAAACCCAAATCTGATTTATCCAGATACCTGATCCGACAATCCGATTATTATTATTATTATTATTATTATTATTATTATTTATTTTTATTTTTTTATTTTTTTTTATCCACAAGAGAAGGTGAGAAAGGATTAATCAAATAAAAAAGCAGAATCGAAGAGAATGTTTGAAAAAAAATAAAATAAAATAAAATATAAAAGAATAAGAAGTTGGTGAGAAATAATCTATTTTTTTGCATGATCACAAGCTGTTGTGGAAATTCAAGCATTAAGAGAGGGGGGGGGGGGGGGGGGGGGGGGGGGTGTGAACGGAACGGATCAGTTCAGGTCAGATTTTTAATCAGATTTATTGAAGCAACCTGTTAATAATCGGATTAGTTGGGTTTGGGCTTAGTCGGATTATCAGATTGGGTTTTCCTTAATGGATCCGGATCGGATCATATTCAGGTAAAATCCGATCCGTTGACAGTATTAATTGATAAAGCATCTAAGCAGAAAAATATTCAAAGTTTCAAACAATTGAACTTGGACTATGTAAGGCAGAGAATATTGATATCTTTTTCCTAAAAACAACTATGGACATTCAATGCAATGGAGTAAGATGCCAGAAAATAGGTATTTTTTTTAATAAACAATGTATTTCAATTAAGAGAATGGCCCCTAGGGCTTTCTCTTCTTTTCTTTTTTTCCCCTTATGTTAGCTACCTTTCAACCAAGCCATTCAGCAAATTTCACTCATAATATAAAAACAAATAAAAATTAAAAAAGGTTTTAAACCAGAAGATATGATTGAAGATGTCTGGTATAAAATATACCTTGAAAGAATAATAATATAACTTGGCATGCAATAGACTCTCGAGCTCCATCCTTCAATTTTTCAATAAGCTCCTCACACTTCCATGAAAGTTTCCTCCCTCTAGTGTCCTCGCTCCCCTGAAAGATCCTATTCACAAAATCAAGTTCCCTTATGAGCGCCTCTCGGTCCCATGTTGGTGCACAGTGCTGGAATACATCTTTAACCCAGCCAAAGAGCTCAGATGTCCTCTTGCAGGCCCAGCACCTGAAAAGCATCTCAGCTGAAGCAGCTCCAATGTTAATAGATGGGCCCATGCAAATTTGCCTCTCTCGAATCGCACAATCAGTATGAGTCCAATGAGAACACAAATCACAACCAATCCAACGGCATGTATTCACTTCAAAATCAAACTTGTTACAGATCACGCACATGCAAAGATTACAGAAACCTTTTCTATTGGTGCATATTTCACAGGTACAGTCATCTGCTGGAAGCTGGTTTTGACATGCTATATTTCTACATTGCTTGTACACGAAAACCTCAATCAGGGAAGTCTGAGAGAGACTAATAGTTGGATGTAGAAAAGCCTGAATTCCCGTGTTTATGGCAACAAGAATTTCGAGCTGAACTCGATGAGCTCTAATCAATGTTTTAGCAGTCAAATCAGACCTACTTTTTACAAGGTTCTGCAAAATCAAGAATTCATCTCTATGCTGAGAACCGCCACTGCCTTCAAGAATTAATCGAAGCCTGCCCTTTAAGTCATCTAGAAGCTTTTCAGGAAGCTGATGCATCTTTTCAGAAATTAGATCAACTCTTTCTCTTGCTATGTCCTGAAGAGAAATGTTATCTGAATGAGAAAACCGACGAGTGACTGACGAATCGGGAAGATCATTCTCTGCTCTCTCGTTCTCTAGCTTTTTTGCCATAATAACATCGGCAATGGGCCAGGTTTCTCGTGAACTGGCACTCTCAGCAGGGGATTCCCGAACCTGATTGTAATTTGATCTGGGTTCTTGAAGATCAGGTGATCCACGAGCTTCTGAAGATGCTAGGAATAGGGATGTATGTAATCCACTGGTTCGTGGTAGCTGACGTGGAGGCAGCATATTTGGTGAAGGTTGGTGATGGATGTTTGATCCAGATGACGTTCCCATCAAGTAATGTAACGTGTTTTCCTACTGTGATGAAACAAGTTCACTCATTGCTATCATCCAATGCTAGATAAAAACATCATAAATTATTTTACTTTTGAAGAGGAAAAGGAACAAATCGATGCAACATTTGAGATAACTTTAATAAAAGCAAAACAAAACAAAACAAAAATACAAGGGGGGTTTCAAAAACAGCTAACTGAGAGAGTCTTAGAGAAGGTGCAATTGCAATTTTTGTGGCATAACAACCAACAACTATGTCTCTATTACGAGGTCAAAACATCCTAGGTTCATGTAGCCACCACCATTGGCCCCAAATTTAGCAAGCTCCTTCAGTTCGAGTTCTTGTAAGTTGTAATTAAAATAAATTTTAAAATCCTTTCCCTTCATGTAACGATATTTCTTCTAGTAATTAACTGAACTAACATGATAAACATTCCCAAGTTTCATTGCAACATTCATTTCAAAATTTCGGACCCATTCTCCCCAAAACAAACAAAGCAATTTGAAAAGAAGATTAAATAATATTATTCAAAACACAAAGCATTAAAAAAAAATAATAATAAATTAAATACAAAAAAAATATAACAATCCATATCTCCGAAAAGAAGCATTTGAATAGGAAATGACTTTTGGGGGTAAAATATTCTCTTTTCTTCACAATTTTTTATTTTATTTTATTGGCATTAGGGTGTCTGGATCAAAACCCGACTAATTCCCAAAGGTGCACAGGCCCTTAGCAAAAAGTTTCATAAAGCTCGTGAACTAGAGAATCAATAATACAAATTTCGAAGTCATAAACAATAAAATGAAAAATCTTTCAGGGTGGTGGCATGTGCCTTTGAGGGTGTTCACCAGAACACCTTGAATTTCATTTTATTTTTTCATACATGCAATGTAAGCATGTTTGATTTGTCATTTTTTACACCTGAAAAAAAAAAACAAACAAACAAACAAAAAAACCCTAGACTACTTTTATTATCATTTGTCACCCTTAGAAAAAAATATTAAACAGCTTGTACTAATTGGATTGCCACTTGTCACCCCTTGAAAAAAAAATCATAGTCCTTAATTGTTGATCTGAGCCCACTCTACAAAATTTTGAACAATTTTTGAGTTCACTTAGGCTCCGTTTCTTTTAACATAAAATGTTTTTCTCAAAAATATTTTATTCATTTTTTGTTGTTTGGTTGAACAAAAAGTAAGTAAAACATTTTTTAAAGAAAATATTTTTACATCATTTTCTCAAAAATGACTCACCTTTAAAAATTTCGCAAGTCAATTTTTACAAATTAGCTATCACTCACTACCTTTTCAACACATTTAGTCTTTTCAAATAAGTAGGTGACAAAAAACTCATAAATGACACTTCATTGAAATTTCAAGGATTTTGGGAGGGATTTGGAAAATCATTGAACCAAACACAGCCTTAGGCAATAAAATATTTTTGTTTCAAGTGTCCCAGTCAACCAAACGCTGAAAAATAAAGATAAAAACAAAAACATTTTTTTTTTTTTTGTAAAATCAATTCACAAGAAAAATTTTTTTTAATGTAAATTTACGTCGAAACAAAAGTTGACTATATATAGGAAAAAAAAAAATTTAAATTGCTTTCAAACAATAATAAATGTCTACTCAACAAAAGTATATATATATAGGAGCCGCCTTTGCATTTAAACAAAGAATAAAAATTGAGAGTTCTGAACGAGAGAGGTCTAGTGATGTGGCAAGAAGTAGGACTCATGATGTGTGTACCTATAATTTTTTTTTTTTTTTCTCTAGACCAAAGTTTTAAAAGCGGCCGCAACCGTTACGTAACGGTTGTGGTGGTTACCGCCACCCATTACGGCTGCTTTTGCAATGTGATTGAGATTCACAGGTATGTCGGCCGTAGCGGCTGCCGTAGCGGTTGTAACGGTGACTCATTACGGCCGCTTTTGCAATGTGATTGAGATTCACAGGTATGTCGGCCGTAGCGGCTGCCATAGCGGTTGTAACGGTGCCGTAACAGCCTGTTACACACCGTTACGTAACGGTTCCGAACTGCTTCTTTCTAAAAAAACACAAAAAATAAAAAAAATAAAAACTAAAAATAGAGAAAGAGGGATAGAAGATATAGAAGATAAAGAGAGAAGATGGAGGAGCAAGAGATAGAGAGAGAGAGAGAGAAGAAGGAAGATAAAGAACATGTTATTGATTTGTTGAAGTTGTAAGACCTATGCTATTCTATTCAACGGCTATCATTCAACCATTTTGTTTGTGTGTGTCTATCTATATATTGTTTGAAAATAATAATAATAATAAGTGTTGCCATTATGTATTTAACTTGGTTAAAATATGTATATATATATATATATATTTAGGCTCTTATTTATTCTATTACTTTTGTCATTATTTATCTTATATATAATAATTAGTGATTGATTTTTTGTATAATATAAAATCATTAAATTATTAAAATAACATATAAAAAACTCAGTTTAGAGTGATTTAAAAATATGAAATATATTGGATCATACATAAAATTTACAAAAAATAATCAATATTTATTTTAAACCCAATAAATATGATCATGAAGAAAAAATATGCATATCGGTAAATTTTTTTCAAATTGTGCGAAAAATAAAAAAAATTCACAGTTCCAGTTACCGCAACCATTACGCTACGGCCTTTACACCCCGCAACCGCGCCACCGCCACCATTACGACGACCGCAACCGCTTTTCAGAAGTAGACACATCACTAGAGCCCTCTGATTAGGCTCTCTACCATTGTTGTTAAACAAAAACATCATGTCAACGCAGTACTAACAAAAAAACTTCATTTCACAAGATCAATGATACATGCCAATTTTATTGCAACCATGAATCTTAATTCTGAACTACATCAGCTGATATAAAACATCTTCAGATCCTCAAAAAAAAAAAAATAATTAAATAAATAAAATTAAAATTGAGAGAGAAATAGAGAGTTTGACCAACACAATATCATCACTGGATCACAGAAATATAGATTTATTCACTCAGTGATCAATCACAAACCAGATACTGCTCCGTTTGGTTAAGGAGAATACAGAAACAGAAAAACCCTTCCGCTTAAACACCCTCATCTTTTTCTTTTTTTCCCCTCTAGGGACGAAACAAATGCCAAAAACTCAACCTAAATTAACTTTTCAAATTAATAGCCGGCTCTTTTTCATTTTCACAACACAACACAACACAACACAACACAAAATCTTCTTTCTATTCCCTTCACTTTCTCAACAACCAAACAGAATATACACACACACACACACACACATATATATATATATATATAGAGAGAGAGAGAGAGAGAGAGAGAGAGAGAGAGAGAGAGAGAAATTAGTTACCAGGTGAGGCAAAATAGAAGAAATAGGGTGAAGTGAGCGATTGAAGTAGAGTTTGATCAAAAATTAAGATCTGATTTCGATAGTTGAAAGTGATTTTGTGTTGTTTCCATTTTCGCTCTCAGACCAAAGTCTGAATCTTTCGCCGCCCTGACGATTGACAATAGACCCAAACAACCCACCGCACCCCGCTGTTTAGGGGGTTGACCTGTTGTGCTTTTTCTTTTTTCTTTTTTTTGATTAAATTACACTTGCTCCCTTTTAAAAAAAATTTTAAAAATACAATTAATTACATAAATTTAATATAATGCACTTATCACTTAATTCCTTTTTCATTAACATTTTTTTAATGTATGAATAAAAAAATAATATTATCATATTTTCCACATTTAAATATATTGGCTTGACACTATTTACATTATTTTCACTTTTTTTATATTTACTAAAAATATATATAATTGACTTTAATTTTTATTTAGATACGTATATATAATATTTGAATTAGCCTTCTTTTGGCAAGTTGATTTATGAGTTTTTTTTGACTATTTTAGTCACAAAAGACAAAATAAGCTATTTTAACCATAACAAACAAAATATCACATCCAACTCCTAATCATTACACTATTCTCTCACAAAAAAAAGTCAAAAAAATCAAAAAGTCAAAAAATTATTCCCAAACCAAACTTTTTAACCCAGGCTAAAATAGTCAAAAAAAAGTCAAAAAATCAACCCACTTATCAAACGAAGCCTAGTAGATGGCATTTGAATACATTATTTTAATACATGCATTGTATGAGGATATATGTATTGAGAGGTGTATTTAAAAATGTATTTGGTGAATGAATTACACTCTTCAACTCAGGTTAGATTAGGGATTAGAGGGAAGCAGAGCCTTACTATTAAAACTAACTAAAAAACAAATTGAACAGCTAGATACACTTGACCCAAAACCACTGCATAATTTTCCTGAGTATGATACCATGATACTCTTGATAAAGTTGTATGTGCCCCAGACTACTATGGTGATTGATGTGCATAAGAAACAACCGCTACTATTGTGCATCTCATAGGACCTGTTTCAATTTTCAATTTGATTATTTAAACCATTTATTTTTTAAAATATATTTAGTAAATTACACGTGTAAAAGATCAAATTGATCGAATATCAATAATCCTTACATCAAACACTCTCATTGAACCTTGCGGATAACAGAGGCTTCGTTGTTGGCTTTAATGCATGATAAAGTGCATGAATTTATACAAAAACTAGCCTTAATTGTTGGCTCCGAAAACTATTCATGTACAGGAAGTGCACTAATCAAATGAAGATGCAAAATAAATGGGAACAAAACAGACAACTCTGAATCAAAATCCAATTGATGAATGTCAACCATTTGAATCCATCAAAGCATAGCAACAAATAAAGTTCAACCATTAATCACAAGCCAGATCAAGGTTTCCACCCCCATCAACCGAGTTTGCTCAGCTCAAAAATTTTACCACCCACGAATTCCCCTCTACTGAATCTATTATCTATTCATACGTATATAAAAACATGAAAGTTCAAAAGTTTTCCCCATCTCATTTCTGACCACTGGTTTCAACTGACTCAACAATCTCGGCCTCTAGTGGTTCTGCGTTGTGTTGTTGAGAAAATTGCTGCTGAGTTGCCCACTTGCCTGACAGAGCCGTGCCCATCATCTCATAGATCTTCCCTCCAAGTTGTGATGGATTCTCAGGCTGCATGAAACAGAACATCAAAAGTAAACATAGCAACAAAACAAGATCAACCTTAAACCCTAAAACTTTAAAAAATAAAAAAACAAAAAATAGTTAGCAAGGACAGTGAAAACCATCCTCTATAAGCATTGAAAGATCCACAGCATAGACAGATTATGGCCATACTTGCTCAAAACATAAGTATTCTCAAGTTCCACACCCATAGGAGATTCAAAGCCCACTAGAAACCATGTGTGACAAAATGCCAACAGTATGCATCACCATGGACCCAAGTACTGGTGTGTGTGTGTGTGTTATTATCTAATTCTCATGTCCCAGAACAATGATATTTAGAAACTAAAATAAAACATTTTATGCATAAAACTGAAGTCTTACACAAAAAAATATAGCAAAAACAACTATTTTTACGTACTTGTTGGGTGCATGTCCAATAGACATGTCACACACATATCTGGCACCTTACCCAATTATCAAATGTCCAATACTGGCACACCAGAAATTTAGGGGGAGTCTATGTAATATAAGTACTGATATTGATGCATTAAGATTCAAATCAAACTCCAATTCCAAGCAATGCTTCGTCCCTAAGGGAAAAGCCCGTTGAAAAGAACAAGGAATATACCGGACATACAAATGATCCTTGTAAATATCAGTTGCCTTCAGTAAGTGCAATTCATGAAAGGCGATTTCAGGGTGACCCATTTTCTTTGCATGCCCGATAGAACACGTCACCACTAGAAAGGGCTGTTCCCACTAAATTCATAACTACTGAATCCAAATCTGATGTAGACATATAATATAAAAGATACAGAACAAGTCACTTACAGTGAAACCACTAGAAATTAAAGCTGTGTCATACAAAAGATCTATAGCTCTCAAAGCTTCTTCATCATTTGGGTCACTCTTGAATGCAGCCTGCACCATTCACAAATAGAAAGTGAAAAAAAATAAAAAATGCTTGCAATTAGCTGGGGTTATATTGGTACAACGAAGAATGAAAATGGGAATTTTCTAATTATTGACCAAATCGTCGTACATTCAGGGTGTTAATGATTGGGTGTTGAGGATTGATCTCAAACACCCTTCTTCCTCTCATGAATTCCAGGCTAGTGGTGTCACCAACTGTTTGGGCCTTCATCAGCCTGCAAGGAATTCAATTCTGCGTCAAGAATGTCAAAAGAACTGTTAAAACTATAACACCTATGAAGCATGAATAATCCACTTCACCTCTCCATATTTGCAGACCAACCAAACTTCCCAGACACAAGAACACAGGGTGACGTGCTCAGACGATTTGAGATTTGAACACTGGCAACTCTGTCACCCAACCTTTTCTTGATCCAGTCACAAGTTTGGCCAAACTCCTGCTTCATCTCCTTTTCCTTCTCCTCATTCTTATCACCTGGACAATTTCCAAGTTTATCTATAGGTAGCAAACTACACACACACACACAAAAAGAAAGAAAGTAGGGATAACTGAAGAAATTTGCACTTCGTCTTAGTACTGGGTTATCATACCCCAGATTACATGAATTCAGTTTTTGAACTCCAGCAGCCAACAGAAGTCACCACTTCAAAATTAGTGAATTATTCAAACAGAGACGAGAACCTAACTGTTGCTTCTTTTTTTATTTTCACCTTCTTCCTTTTTCTCATAACATCTAGAAGAACAGCTTCCTAATATTGTCAATCTGATCACATTTTTTTATTGGGCATTGGATCATGTCTCATAATATATGGTCCTTACCCACATAAATGTCTGTAATGTCAAATTATGCATTGGAAAGTAAATAAAATATTATCATCATCCAACTCTGAACTAAAAGTTCCAAATCTGACAAAGCCTCAATAAACTAACCTACATCAAGGTCTTCCTTGCTAATATCAACAAAATTCTTATCTTTGTATGATTTCAGGTTCTGGATGGCCACCTCATCAATGGGATCAACCAAGAACAGCACCTGCAGCAAAAACACCAAAACACCTCAACACGTGCAAGTAAAATCAATAGGAAAACAAAAAACATCAACACTCAAGCTCCCTTTTTCTGTTTCTTGTTAGTCATAATACACTCTCTGCTTCATATTATCTTGAAACCCTAATACATACTTCAAGATCCTTCTCAAGAAGTCTCTCCAAGAAAGGGGTGTTCATAGCACTTGTTACACTGTCAGCAGCAATGTAATAAATATCCTTCTGGTCAGGTTTCATGTTCTCTAAATACTCATCCAAGCTGATCATCTCTTGATCACTCTGCGAAGAGAAGAATCGAAGCAAGGGAGCAAGACGCTTGTGGTTCTCACGATCTTCAATACAACCCAATTTTAGGTGTTTGCCAAAGTTCTCCCAGAATTTCTCATAATCCTGAAATATACAGCAAAGGGGTACATTGATCAACAGCCCAAAGGAGGAGAAGAAAGAAAAACAAGAAGAGGTGAGTCTCTCTCCCCAGCAATAGCAAAGAATAACAGGATGGTATGTCACAAAGTAACAAAAGAGATTCTTTACAAAAAGCTTGAGAAACGAACACATACATCTCTGTTCTCACTCATGGATATGCCCAGAATCATGTCAAAGGCCTTCCGAACCAAGCGCTTCCTCATAATCCGTACCTTCAAGGATAACAAAAACAAGATATTTAGCAATATACAGTTGATTAAAATCAGGTTGAGCATACAACACCTATTATGAATTGGATATACTTACAATACGACTTTCTTGGAGAATTTCACGTGACACGTTGAGGGGAAGATCATTGGAGTCAACAACACCTTTAATGAAGCTTAGATATCGTGGGAACTATTCACATTTCCACCCAAAAGCAAAACAGGACCCATTTGTTAGCTTACATCGGAAACCCATACTAACCTCTGTTATAAAATACTACATCATTCTTACCAATTCTCCATCAAAGTCATCGGAAATGAACACTCGTTTAACATAGAGCCTTATATTCTTTGTCTTGAGGTTGACCATTTCATCCTTTCCCATGGGGGCCATTGATGGCACGTAAAGTATGGACCTGAACTCCACCTCGCCCTACAATTAAAAATAATAATTATTAGCTAGCTAAGCAAGCCAGTTACCAAAAGAATGGATGGTAAATAAAAAATCACATAATTTTCTTCGTCTTCTTGTTCAGAAATATCCAATTTTAGATTTAGAATAGATGAGTTAAGCCATTGATGCGATACTTTATTATTTAGATGCACAACAGTCTGTTTAAGTTTATTAAATAGAATAGCAGTATAATATAATATACATCATCACCTCAGTTGTAAAGTGTGAAGATGCTAAAGGCTCCAAGTATTCATTGAAAGTCTTCTTGTAGAATTCATTATATTCCTCTGTAGTGACATCCTTGGGGTTCCGAAGCTGCATACACCAAAAGGATGATGACTTGATTACTCTCGAAGACAACAAATCAAGCACAGTAAACAACAAGAAAGAGCATTTGAATTCTTACCCATATAGGCTGGGTCTCATTAGTGAGCTCCCAATCCCAGTACTTCTCAACAACTTTCTTGGTTTTCTTCTTCTTCTGCTATAGATAAATTTAAATCAATAACCATGTAGTGCAGATAGAAATTTACATTGAGAAGCAAAAGATGGAACACATGCTTATTAGAATGGGCAATTCAGGAGGGAAAGGAAAGAAAAAAAAGAATGAAAGAAAGAAAAATCAAGAGGATCACCTCAGTTTGCCCATCTTGTCCATCTGTCTTGGCATCAGCCAGATCCTCATCAACCTCAACCTGCAATAGAGCAGGATATTAGGACAGGGAAAGGCACAGAAGATGTATGGCCACACACATTGTCACATAAGCAGAAGTACTGGCATTTGTAATATCCCCAAAAACTAGTGAACACAATAATGAATCCCCAGAATATGAAAAGACATTGTAGAGATGGAAAGACAGACAAACCTCTTTAGTATAACCCTTTTCCTGCCAGGTGTAAATTGGGAATGAAACAAACTGAGAATAATTTTTAACAAGCTTCTCAATCCTTTCTGGATGTGCAAAACCTTTGTCATCCCGCTGAGTGCACAAAATAAACCCATAAAACATTAGTGTTAGCTTTTAAGATTTTTTTAATACAGTTCTAAGTAATTGTCAATCTATCTACTTAAAAAACATGTAAAGACCTTCAAATATAGCGTGAGGCAAGTCCCCCTAGGAAGGAACTTCTCAGGTTCAGTCTCCTCTCGAATAGTATAAGTGCTAGAATTGGCCTCTCCTTCCCATACATATTGCTTATCAGATTTGGGACTCCTTGTTGAGACAACAACCTTAGAATAAAAAGAAATATAAGACGAACAAATTCAACCAGAAAGTCCACATTTACAAACAGCAAAAACTGTAATGTCGTTCAGTTTTCAAACATATCATACCCGATCAGAAACTAGGAAAGCCGAATAAAATCCCACACCAAATTGACCAATTAAAGTGCTGTCAGCTCCAGAATCCTTGCTCTCCTGAAATAACAGAATTCTGTTAAGTAAATATAACTCTAATCAAGGTCTCCAAATTCATAAATTAATGCATACAGTCACATAGAAAAGAGAACGGGGAAAAATTACAAAATTGAAAATGTTGGTGCACCTTCAATGCCTTTAAGAACTTTGCAGTTCCACTTTGTGCAATAGTTCCAAGACAGTCAACAAGTTCTTGACGAGTCATCCCAATGCCAGAATCCCTGCATACAGCACATAAGGTCTTGAGACTGCAATGGAAACATTAACCACAATGATTTTTGGTATTCAAAAAGCTTACGTAATTGTAATAATCCCATTATCTTTGTCAGACTGGATACGGATATCAAGATCACCTCCATCCTTCAAAAGATTGGGGTCTGTAACACTGAGAAATCGCAGCTTGTCCAAAGCATCGCTTGCATTGCTGAGGTTTAAAAGTCATAATTTGGAGCACATTAGCAATAGCATCATTTAATTCACTTGGAGCTTGAGACAAACTTGTAAATCAAGTTTGCTTTTTGATGTAACTCAGCTTAAAACAAATACAAGTAACTATCTATCTATTGGCAACACTTGTGGACGACACTCACTGCAATTGCGAAGGCAATAGTCATACAATTAAATCAAAACATTGACTGACAAGACCTCCATCAAAGCAATAAAACCCTCTTTCTCTACACATTAAAATATAGTTTTCAATCATGTCTAGTTTTTCTAACGAACAAGTACATTTTTTCATCCAATTATTTTCTTTGTTTATCCAAGGCTTGCTTTAATCATCATGAACAACTATGTATAATTCCGGAGATCAGCACATTTGCATGGGCTTAGAGCATAATTACTATCCCTTCATTTCCAAACTCTATACATCCTTGATACAGTTCAGCCAGTTTTTTTTCTTCACAGGTGTCAGTGATTGTTGATCGATGCAGAAATTGCAAAAAAATAAGTGTCCTTTGATGCTGAATGCAAAACTAATATTGCATACTGATGGAGGGCATGCACCAATAACACATGGTAAAAGTAGCAAGAAACAAGGTTGACTAACAAATCAAAACATGCCTGACGAGCTCCCGAAGGAAGACCTCCTTATTGCTATATAAGCTGTTAACAATGAGGTCCATGAGTCGACTAACCTGTCAAAAAGCAGAAAAGGTTGTCAACTATTTTAATCACAGGCCCTAACAATAACTCAATCAGCTCTACTATTCCAACAATGCACCTCAGCTTGGTATTCATATTTCTCAGCTGGAGTATCTGACGCATCAGATGCTGCAGTAGTTGACTCGTATCGGTTGCCTCGAAACAGCCCATTTCTCAGGTTCAATGACTCCATAGATCCTGTGGTGTTGCATCTCCCAGTGGTTAACACTGAGTACCATCTGAGTTTAGTATCACTCTGTCCAGCCTGCTCATGAATAATATATCAGATGTGAAAAACAGGGTAATCCAAAAAATCAAAAAAGTCAATGAAGACAGATAATAAGCAATTGTAATCAATCAAACCAACATGGCTAATCAAGCAGTAAAAGGACATGGAAACCAAATCCCAAAAGTAGAGACAGCCTGTTTGGATAGAATGATTTGGTGAGAAAAGATAACCAAAAAAAAAAAGATGAGATTGATTTTGCCTATTTCATTTCTTACCAAAAGTGATGAGATTTGGAGAAAAACAATCTACTTGATTATAAAATTTTCTTGATACCGAGATTACCCATTAAAATACAAAATATAAAATATAAAAAAAACTCGCTCATGTCACTCTCTCACATGCTTTGATTTTTTACCCTTCCAGTTTATAGACACAATCATTTATTTTCTTTTCTCACCTCTCATACCAAAAAGATTACAAGCAGCTACCAGGCAGCTAAAAATGGAACCCCAAACACCAAGAACTGAGAACAAATAAATTTAACTCTCATCCAAAAAAAAAAAAGTAATATTTGCAATGAGGACACTATATGTGCATTGTTAAAAATCAAAGCAAGTGCAATCATATGGTTATGGATATACAGAACCTTTATAATTCACGGTTACACTGGTAAATGCTTAAAGTCCAAATAAAACAGATTAAATTAAACTATGTTTGGTAACCGAGGAGAGAAAAGACAAAAGAAAATACGAGAAACAAATCGCAATTTTTATATCTAAAAGATACTTAGTTTCTTTTCACTCCCAATCTCTCCACTTTTGGATAGATTCAAAATAACTATGAGAAAAATTTCCCATTTTATTTATTTATTTATTTTTGGTTTCCCACGGCAGGCCAGCTTAATGCGCACCTCGACTAATCCCTGCTTACGATGGGAGCCTGCCACTGGCCACAGGGTGTTGCAGCTAAGGGGACTCGAACTGGGGAGCAAACCCAGTCGAACCTCAGAGCCTTACCCATTTTACTTCATTTCTCTACTCTTTGCTTATCCGAACGAGTGATATAGACCAAAAAATGCATTTGTTTTCGTTTCTTCCCAAATCACCCAATCCAAATGGGCTGTAAAAGCGTGAAGCGAACCACACGATCGATGATTATACAAATAAAGAAGTGATTTTTCACTAATCACCCTCTAAACATCACCAGAAACAATGAAAGATACGCCAAATTGAAGCATTTCTAGAGCCTGATTCGAAGAGTACGTACCGATTCATTGAAGAGGCTGTTAGATGAAGCAATTGGGGAAGCGGCATTTCGGTACCGTGCACCACCGTTGCGGAGGACGGCGGAGACGGAGCGCCTCGGAAGCCTATGCATGTTAGCGACCACAACAGAAGAGATAGAACACTCACTACCAGTAGAGAGAAAGAAAGGAGAGAGGCGATTGTTCTGTAAGCTGAGAGAGGAACTAGGGTTTTAGTAGGGTTCTGGAGAGGGGTTTACGGAAGGTTCTGGAGATGGGTAAAAGCTGTGGGTACAATTAAACGCCTTGTCATGGCTGTTTTCGTCATTTCACGTAACAAAATTTTAGGTAACGTTTGGTTGTGTTTTGTAAATGTTATTTGAGAGTATCAGTTCTATTTTGAGTTTGTGTGTTGTGAAATTATGATTTGAGTGTAGAAAATTTGTTTGGTAAAGAGTTTTGAAAATAGTTTTGGAAAAGAGGTTTGATTTGAGTGGGAAATTGTTGATGTGACATTTGATATGTGATACAAAAATTTACAACTCATAACTAAACATACAATTCAAAATTATTTTAAAGCACATAAAAAATTTAAAAATTTTCAGAAAATATTTGTCCCGATTATGTAAATCAATTGCAAAAAAAAAAAAAAAAAAAATCTGGAAATCAGCCGGACATCCGGGTGGACATCTGGGTGGTCTACCGGGTGGACATCCGAGTGGACAAAAAAGGCGTCTGTGCATCAGAGTTCTCTCTGCAGAGTGTAGAAAATTGATTTGAAAACGAAACCAAACATCATGTTCCAACACACGGGTAGAAAATTGATTACAGAGCACAACCAAACAGAGCCTTAGGTTCGCCTTGGTTCTGAAAATACAATTTTGTTGTTTTTCATTTTTTATTTCTTTTTGGTTTTTAATAAATTTATAATAGGACATTCGGTCCATCAATTTAATTTTAAATTTTCTTTATCAAGATTCACAATCTAAAATTTTTTGTTCATAAGAATAGACTCTTCTAAAATGACTAAATTACTCATATATATTATTTTCCAAACCCAAATCACAAACCAAGCCATCTCATTTCTCTCTTTCTTCTCCCTCTTTCTCTCGCTCTCCTTCTAAAACTGCCTCTCTCTCTTCTCTTCATCTCCATCGTCGCTGACACCACTACCTCTGCCCCCTCCGTCATCTCCTCTGAGTCCTCAACTTCCGAGTCGTTCCACCACCGCAAGTCCGAAGTCAAAAAAAGAACTCCGACTATTGTTTTTCCTTCGAAATCATCAGATATCTCATGCAATTGGTCCAATGGTTGTGTATCTCATCAAGGGGGCTCAGAGTAGAGCCAGATGGTGGAAGCATGGCACTATTGGCGGAGATTTGGTACCACTTCGTCCAAATTAGCGTCTCTCTCTCTTACACACTCTAGCAGTGTCTCCAGGCGACGCGTGAACACATCACCGTCTTTCTCTATTTCCCTATATATATATATATATATATGTATATGTGTGTGTGTGTGTGTGTGTGTTGATATTGTAATTATTGTTGTTGTTAATAGTGGTGTTGAAGTTGATAATGGTGTTAAAGTTAATGGTGGTGTTGATAGATGAGAGGGATTTGATGAGAGAGATCTATGATATCGACATTTTTTTTATTAGACTATGAGACCTACAAATCTATGAAACCTACAGATCAAAACCCTAAAACTATCACCCAAACATGTTTAATATTTTCATAAATTGATATGATGATGGTCTCTCTCTCTCTCTCTGTGTGATGTTAGTGATGATGGATAATTAAAAACCCTAGATTTTATCTATATTGATTTTTTCAATTGGAACAGATCAATATCTTTGTTTTCTTTCTCAGTGATGAATATGGATATATATGTATGAATGTATGTAATTTGCACAGATAAGAGAAAGATATAGATATGTATATATGTATGAATGTATATAATATGCACAGATAAGAAATAGACAAATAGAAAAAATTGGCTTGGCATTTCAACAGATCATTATTTGAATTTCAACGAATCACAATACTTGAACAGATAACTTTATATTTCAACAAAAAAAAAATAGTTTAGTTGAACAGATAGTTATGATTATTTTAGATTTTAAACAGATAGTAATGATTATTAGTTTAGTTAACTTTGTAGAATTTTTTTGGATCTATTTTTTTTTTTTTTGTAGTTGATGATAATGATAATGATGATGATGAAGATGATGAAACAGATTGTAATAGATAAGAAGAGAGACAGAGAGACAGAGAGAGAGGGGGATTTGAAGATATAAAGTTTTTTTGAATAGATAAGGTTTGATTTTTCTTAGTATTACAACAGATAGGATTGGTTTGGCTCAACAAATAGGATTTGGTTTGGCTTGTATTTCAACAGATAGAAAAAAAATGAACAGATAATAAAATTTGGATACATATTTGAACAGATAAAAGAAAAAATGTGAACAAATAGTCCAAAAAAAGTCAACAAATAAATTAAAGGGTAAAATCGGGAAAAAAATGTTCTTCAAAACAATAAAAATAATTTCTCACCAAACTATTTTATTCAATTGGACTTTTCACCAAATTTCTCTTTATAATATTATAAATAAGCTCATTACACAACAAAATAAGCTCATTACACCCAATTTTTGGAAAAATTCTATTTCCACATACCTAATTATCTCAATCCACATTATTTCTTAGTACACACACTTTGTAATTTAATTATTAATTAGTTTTCTCAACCCACACACTAAATTTATCAAGTATACCATTCACTTAACCATTGTACACACACCCCCTCAACCCTCTTTCCATACGCTTGTCTCTCATTCCACACACTAGTACAATCAAAGTGAAGACCATTGAAGAACAAAGTAAAATAAAGACCCACATTGAAGAACCAAAGTCTTTCATTGAAGACCTTCATTCTATTGAAAACCTCCATTGAAAACACCATTAAAAAGTCTCCATTGCAATGTTGAAAATGGTTCAAATGTAAATTACTAGAGAAGAACATGAGTGATAATCTGGGCTATGCCCATTGGACATAGATAATTCTTGTAAAACCCAGCTTTGACATCCATGAGTTGTCTTTTCTTTCCGAAGTCCACTACGTCCTCCTTTAGAATTATCTGACACAAACTCTTTACAAACAGATCAAATGCAAGTCAAAATGTTGATGAACAGACACGAATGTGAGCAGCAAAATCAAGACTGTGAAGCCATGATAAACAACTCCATGATGCACTAATAGAGTATAAACCTAGAGATTAAAGCAATATAAGTGTTGTTATGAGAGTATTACTTTGTAAGTAATAGAGGAGTATAGAGTGTGTAGCAAACAAAGTGACAACAATAGAAAAATTATGGTTTAATTTTTTTTTTTCACTCAAAATGTGTACATTGAGATTTTTATTTTTATTTTTAAAAGAGGTGTACAGAGAATATTTTCATATAATATTATGAGTCTTGGTAGATGTCCATTATAGTAATTTTAGTTTGGGGTATAATTGTCATTAAAATAATATTTCATTAAGTGTGTGCATTAAGGTAACTAGGTGTGTAGAAATAGAATTTTTCCAATTTTTGGGAGAAATTTTTTTTTATTGCACTTTTACCACTTTCTAAAATTACCCAAAAAATCCTTAAAAACCCTAATACTAATTTCTCAGCACACCCATCATTTCCTAACATCTTCACCGGCCATCATCATTGCAACTATCCAACAAACCACCTTCCTATCCCGATGAGCTTCTCTACCATTTTTTTGCCACATTTAGCACCAAACCTCACCGGCGATTCAACCTCCTTCTCTCTTCACATTTGCTTCTTATCTCCTTATCTCCTTTGCCTCTTGCAATCAAAACTCACCCCTTTGCCTCTTACAATCTGTAATAACCCTCATCACTGTTTACCGATAAAACATTGATTACCGTCAAACTGAACTGATTATGACTGATAATTGAACTGATTAAAGTGCTGAATTGACTGATTGAAAACTGGAACTGAATTGACTGAGTATGTATGTTAATTTGTATTTTATCTGTTTGATTGTTTATTTGATCTGTTCATGTTTTATGTTCAAACTGCTAATTGGAGGCCTTATCGGCGGCCGAACCGGGGATTGATTGATGTTTTATGATCATTATAATTTATGTGATTTTATGGTATAATTATCTCAAAACTGATTAGGTATGATTAAATTAGATTAAATATCGATGAATTGCAAGTGTTAGGCTTATTTACACTTTTGCCACACTTAGTGGCCACTATCTCACACACATTTGAGCCTTGTATACACTTATACACTTAGATCAAAACATTGCTCAGCCTTTCTCCTTGCCATAGTCGACCAAGAGGGGGAGAGAGTGAGAGATTGAATTGTTCATCTTGAATTGCTTGGGAACTTGAAGAACTGCTTAGTAATTGAAGTATAGATTACATATTTGAGCTCCTAGTTTTCTAATTCCAAGACTTAGGTAAGGATTTCATCTTCTCATTCTTGTGTTTGAGCTAATTCTTGCATGGTCCATGTTAAATTGTAGAGCTAAGTCATGTTTTAGTTCATACATGTTGATATAGAGCATAATCCATGCATGCATGTTTGAATTGTTGGATTTTGAGTTGAGTTCATGGCAAATTGTTACATGCATGTCCATGATTTTGTAATGGTCCGTGATTTGATCATGTTTTGGAAACAATTGGCTCCTTAGAGCATCAAATTGAAGCTTTGAGTTGTTTAAAATTCATGCATGTTTGCATGTTCATCCTGTTCTTGAAAAATGGTTTGAAATTGAGTTTGAATTAAACACCCTTGGGCTTTGATTTCTCAAATTGAGCTTTGAACCATGTTATTCTATGTGTTTATAAATGTTTTCCAGAAAATGGGCCCAAGAGGATTGGTTTTGATGCATTTGAATGTGAGTTGAGCTTGGTAGTGCAATCTGGGTTTTCCAGATTTTGCACTTCCGCTCGAGCGGGGAAAGTGACGCTCGAGCGTGGAATCCGAGCATCCAGTATTTTCTCTGCACTGTTTTACAGTACGCTCGAGCGGGAAAGTT